TTACCTTTTTTTTTTTTTTTGGTTTTGCTTTCTTAAAAGAAACGATCAATGGTCCGATTTTATTCGATGTGCACCCTCCCTGTGAAAGTTCACCCTCCCTGTAAAAGTTCTGGTTACGGCCCTCGGTCCCAAGAAAAAGAAACTAAGCTGAACTTGAGATTTTGATATTTTAGTACGATAATAAAGATAATTTATGCGTGATCGACTTGAAAAAAAAATTTTTCCCCTTCAGCAATGAAACTTGTATAGTCTCCTATGCGCAGCCGCTATTAGTGTCGTCACGCAACTCTTACTCCCAAAGGGACGGGGACTATGATATCTGAGGAGGGGGTTGCGTAAATAATAAAAAAAACGAGTAAGCACTTTACCTAAAAAAAATATCGCGAACGCTCTCCTTTCCGTAAAGAAATATCGAGCAAACACACACACAGACACAAAATTGCTTGCAAGGGTCGTTTTTCAATTTTTTATTGTATAATGTTAGTATTCGTATTTGATAATAGGCATATATTAACTTTAGAGTATTTAATATTCCCGTGTAAATATATTTATATTTAATTTGTAATCCTGAAGGACCCAATGTGGGTAAATAAACTTATCTTATCTTATCTTACAAATAAACAAATAACGTGTAACAAAAATTCCTGCAGCCTCCCCCTTAATGATCTAATGGTCCGTATCTAGGTAGCTGCTTATGAAGACTATGAAACATACTGAAACATACTGAAAGATACTGAACTATTGTTTTCTATTAATCAGATTTTTAAGTTCACCCTGCTAAGAGGACTCACCTTTCTGATTCTGATGTCTCCTGGCTTGTACTTCAAGGTCTCCCAAACACAGCAGCACGAAAATCATTATAATTATCATACTGCTGGATGATGGCCATGGACTACGCTTACTATCCGGCATCTTGGACGAGAATCTTTATTTTCCTGTGTTGAGCTTCTCGAGGCACAAGTTGACAACAGAGCTCAAGGTGAGAGACTGCTGATGCTTTTGCGGTATATATACATGTATATATATATATGTATATAGCGATGTCAATGTCATTGGGGTGTTGATTTGAAAGCAGGATTATAATATTATGCCCGGAAATTAAAGGAGTGTACCAAACCTCTAAACGATGAAAAAGTAATTAGTGTAATTAATCTTGTTGATCAAAGAGTTTGAGGGACAGACCATTAGATAATTGAGGGGGGGTATGGAAGGGGGTTGCGTAAATCTCCCCCCCCCCCCCCCCCATTTTGAGCAAGCATTTCATCCTTTCAGGAAAGATATATCGAGGAAAGGCAAAAAAAAAAATGAGTGCAGGGGTTTCTAAAAACACTTATAGATATCGTGCAACATCATGAAATTCCTGCAGCCCTTTTCCTTTAATTATCTAATGGTCCTTCCCTAACCGATAATATGCTCACTCTGTGTGTAATATGCTCACAGTGTCTACATGCTATCATGATGACGGACAAGAAATAAGCATACTATTTGCCATCTGGGAACTAGAGATGTTGACCAACACGTGTTAAACCCAAGGGCCCCAACATATTAAGTTGAGGTCACTTAAAAGGATAAAGCAGCTTCCTGCGACAGGGCAGAAAAATTCCAAGCCCGCTAATTTCACGATTATCTTATTTATCTGAGTTTAACGCTCTAAATTTCTAAGCGTTTCATTTGTGTCACTGCTGCTCGAAACTTGTGACGAAATTTTGTCGAATTCAAAGATTAAATCTACTTAGTATTCACGAAAATATCAATTTTTCTGCTGATCAAAATATCACCTCTCCTAAAGTACACGGCTTTATATCTCAAATACGCATTTGATAAATTTCGGTCGCATTTGATATTTTGCTATTTGGCTCCAAAAGAACGTGTTTACATAATATTGAGCTTAAACACGTAAAGCTGTCCCTATCATGGTGAAAGGCAAAAAACCGTTTTTCTGCCCTGTCGCTTCCTGCTGCTGTTGACTTTATCAGCTAGCAAGCTTTAACCTAAAAATAGGCCCTCCGCCAGCATTGCGAGCATGTGGCTACTGCTATGAAGCTATATATTATACCATCTACGATGGAGTTGTTCATCGATTTGGCGGGATTTTTTGGCGCCAAAACGCTTAAACATGCGCGGCATGCCTTTTCCCCAAAACTCTGTAACTGTCACTACTCCACTATTTAGGTATCTGCTTTGGCTCCGAAAACTGTTTTCTGAAAATGTTTGTTATAGTGTACGTTCAGTTTATCCAATCAGCACCAAGTTTTTTCAGGATGCTTAAACTTTTCCTATGCTTTTTAGCCAGTATGTCATTGTTTCTTTTCTCAGAAAAGCTTTTGTTTTGAACAGTCAATTTTCTGTCACCATCTTCCAGACTTATATTCAACAGCTGTACTGTTAAGTACCTTATTTTTTCGTTGTAACTGTCTTCTCTGAACGTGTGGAACAGGTTTTGTCTTGGTACAAAGAAACTAGGTAAAAAGCCTTCCCCTGCAGCTTGGGAGAGTCTTCTAAATATCCCGCATACGAGTGGTTTTAAGGCCAACTCATTGTTTGTGGAGATGTTGTTGTCGTTCACACAGAGTGCTTCAAGCTCATGGAACAAAGCCGTCTTGAGAACATAGCTGGAGAAGGTATTTTTTGTTAAAATCTTCATCTTCGCCTTACCATATTCCCCACCATAAATCATCGATAGCGGAACTTTTGCTGTTCTCCTCGACAGTACCTTTGCAACCACACAGCTTTTCTTGACAACTTCTGGCATCTTATGAAATATCTCTCGTTCAGCAACAGAAAAGGACACTCTTAGAAGATGAGCGGGATTGCCGAACGTTTGTGTGCTGTACAATGCAGTATCTGGTTGCTTGAGAACTACGTGACATTGCCGAGTTTCTGGGGTCAATATAGAGCTCTCTTGTCTTGCAAATGATGGCCACAGAGATTTCACCTGAATCGTTGGAACTACATCAATACTAACGCTATTTGCATTCATAACATCTTTCTTCCAAACTAGACTTACCTCTATGTTTGGATGTCCGGTAGTACTCTCCAAAGTAGGAATGCAAGGACACTCCATTTCACCATCTTGCCAGATTTTAGGTTGGTTCATTACTAGGACCATGAGATCGCCAAATGCCTTTAAAACTCTGTCTCCAACAAGATACCCATCAGAGAAAAACTCCTTGAATTTGGACTGGTTCTTCGGCTGCTTGTGTGCAAGCTTTACGTGTCCCACTATAGCTGGTTCAGCTTCCTCAACAATGACCTCTTCGCTAAGTCTTCCTAAACAGATCATGTAGTCGAAGTCTCTTACAGAGTTGGCTTCTGTTAGCGGCTTTGTCCCTTCATAGGTGCTTCCACTCGGTAGGACATTGGAGGCAAATCTAGGATCCATCCTGGCGATTTCATCACATAGATTTCTAACAAACTTTTCAATTGAAGAGTTCATGCAGTTCAGAAGTTTTATTCTGTCTTCTGATGGAATGGTCAACAAACATATTTGATCAAGGTACTCCTGGACATGTTGAGTTGGCCTCAAAGTTTTAGTGTCAATGTCTCTATCACTGTCAATACAAATTGGTTGCAGATAGTCATTTAAGTTGGATTTTTCTTGAGAGCCAGGTAATTCCTGTAACGCAGGCAATTCCTGTAACGGAAAGGGATGAATCTTATTATCTGCCTGGAAAATGACCTTGCTAACATCCTTAGCGTACCTGGCCATATCTATGCACTTCACACCGGAAGGTAGACCAATGTTTACATTTGCTCCGTGTTGCAAAAGGCATTTTAAAATAGACTCGTCAGTTCTCTTATACAATAAGAAATAGTGAAGAGGAGTCATACCTGTATTGTCTGGCTTGTTTATGAAATTTTCAATCCCTTGGGGAGAGGATGACATTGCCTTGGTGATGGTACTGACAATTTTAGGCGTGCCAGAAGCTGCCGCATGATGAAGAGGCATTCCTCCAAGGTGATCAACCGGGCAAGGGCACTTTGAATACTCTAGGAGAACCTCAACAACGTTAAAGTCTATATTGTACATACTTTTATGCAATGGTGTTCGTCCAATGTGGTCAACAATCAATGGATCTGCACCACTTTCCAGAAGAATCTTTACTGGTTTTAGAAATGCGCTATACGCTGCATAGTGCAAAGCAGTTTGGCCATTTCTGTTCGTGATGTTAACATCGCATCCCAATTTTACTAGTTCTTGGAGAATCACCTCAAGAGATTCTTGCTCAAAAGGGTAAAAATCGGGATTAAATTTGAATATGGCATGCAGACAAGTATTACCATATTTATCGACAACGTGAGGGCTCGCTCCGTATCGTAATAAATGTAAAACAGTGCTTGCTTTCAAGTTATGATTAAAACAAGCCAGACTCAAAGATGTGGATCCATGAAGACTTGGTTTATCTATTTTAGCTCCTGCCGAAACGAGTAGACTTATCTTTTCTAAGATGTTTTCTTCGACGTCGGAAATCACGGCAAGATGCAAAGGAGTAAATTCTTGGTCGTCGAGAACGTCGACCGAAAGCTTCCTGTTCGTAAACTCTCGAAGAAGAGCTTTAAATCCATCAATTGCTCCCCAAAGAGCGGCTTCATGCAAAGATGTTCGTCCTTTCACGTTTTTTGCAGCTGGATCGGCTCCTAGTTCAAGCAAACGTACCACTGTTTTATGATCTCTGGCAAAATGCAATGGACTGTTGCCAACACAGTCGCTTTGATCGACGCTCGCTCCTGCTTCCAGTAGAAGCGAACAGCAACTGGAATGTTCGAATTTGCAGGCAAGAAGTAGTGGAGTTTCTTTGGAATCATTACTATAGTTGACATCTAGATTTTCAGCGACCAAGAGCTGTTCAAGCTTCTTATTATCGCCTATTTCTGACGCCAGTAACATATCCATTATAACTACAGTTCCAACTTAACTAAATCTTCCTACGGTCGTGTTTAATCTGAATAGAATGCAAAGCCCTACCTGCCACCAGAGAGCCCACAAAACTTCTTAATTTTCATAGGTAAAAAAAAAATTCCACGACACAAACTTGGCTTTGTGTCTCAGTAAAGTCTGTTTATACCAACCCTACTACGGTGGCCTAGAGGTGCAATACGAGGCATACAAATTAACATACACAAACACAAAACTGAAATACATAAACACATGTACGAAACCGAAATGCACAGCTAAAAACCAAAATACACAAATTTAAACACGAAACCGAAATACACAAATACAATTAACAAGAAAGAACTAGACTTGACCCTGACATTCATCGACCAATCAAAACGCGAAATACACAAATACAATTAACAAGAAAAAACTGGACTTGACCCTGACATTATTCGACCAATCAAAACGCTTCTATTAAGCCACGATATCCATGGCCGACCTCTATATATAAAGCGACCACCTATCAAGCAGTTAAAAATCCTTTTTAATCTAGCACTGTCTTACATTTATTACGATGCAATGTTAACTAGATCTAGTTATGGACTTCTGGCGACCACCTAATAAGCAGTTAAAAAACCTTTAGTTTAAGTGGTCAACCTCTATTGAGTGACCTTTTATTAAGCAGTTAAAAAAACCTTTAGTTTAAGTGGTCAACCTCTATTGAGCGACCTCCTATTAAGCAGTTAAAAAACCTTTAGTTTAAGTGG